ATCGAACAGTTAAGACAACAGCTGCGAGTCCAACCCATACTGTCGTATTGTTTTTATGAGTCATGAGCGCGGCACTGACGTTAACAGGAGTGACATTTCTGCGGCCGCAAGCTGTTTCGTATATTGCTCCGCAAACAATTCCTATCGATCCAATCGATCAATTTTGACATATGTTTACACGAATTCTTGCATTCATAATTTTCTAAATGTTACATTATAGATTTCGGTCTTTATCTTCGAATCTTGCATAATTAATGAAAAATCCTTCCAATCGATTCGAAGAATCGATCGAAGAATCGATCGGAATGTGTCAGATCACGTATAAATAAATTCTTTGTGCGACGCAAGAATGTCGAAACCAATCCGTTGCGGTGATGATCGATGAGTCCACCGATTTGTATAAATGCCGCAGCTGACGCATCGCATTGATTGCCGCTTATTGACTGGAAAGGAGCTGGAAAATACTTGGTAATCTAGACGATAACCCGAGACACGGCGCGACGATTAGTCGGTCGCTCGCTACGCTCTTCGGCGACATACACACGTGAATCATACGATGCGCGCGCGATGAAAAATTCCGTCACGGGCAAATTGCGGCGACGATCGCTTTTTGCATATTTCAAGAGTCGCCGGCTGGTGCTATCGGATATCGCGCTACGTGCGCAGCGCGAGCTCTCTGACCGATATGCGCCCCTTTGTTGTCTATTTGTTCGGTAAAACTGCACGCACCGAATGCGCAAATATGCGTGCGGAACGATCATCAGATACATGCGCAATAGAAACGCGAGAAACCTGCGCGCGAAAAACGCGAAAATCAAACGGAGCCTACTATATCTTCTCGATTGACACAAACGCAACGCAACAACTTGTCTACGTACATTCGAACTGCATTCGCAATTGTTATCACGCCGACAAGTCAACGTTTAACGTACATTGTCCTGTGGAGGATATCAATTTGATTATCAATCAATGCCGTGAAATTGCATCGAGATAAAAAGAAGAGAAGATAAAGCGGTAAAACTTATCGCCACTTTTCTTTGGCGAAAGGCTTTTCCCAACATCCGCGCGCGCGCGCGCGCGCGTGTGTGTGTGTGTGTGTCGCAAGTAGTAATTTAGTGTGATTCATCCGACGGTACATACGCACCGATAGATCTATGGGATGTCCGTATTGATCGAACCACACCCGTATTTCCTACACCCTCTACCCGCCACCCTCCCTTCCTCCGGCCCTTCCGCCCCTCGCACGCACGCGAATGTCAACGTAATGTGCGTGCGCACAGAAATCGACGTAATCGTTTGTAACCAAAAAGCTCTATGCAATACGTTTCTTTAATTCAATTGTGATCGAAAAATGGTCCAATAAACTTGAGATTGTGAAAAAGAGAATTATACGGGAAAAATATATTACTTTATTATTAAGACTGATAATTCTAGAGTTTCTTGGAAATTACCGATCGTCGGAGATTGCATAAAAACGTGTCAATTTCAGGACTGAACTTGACATCGACAGCTGCAACTTATGCATGTGATTACGATTTTTTCCGCGAATATGATAGCATAACGCTATTGAAATCGAGATAAATCGCGCAAGAGATAGAAAATTTCAAGATCCAAGGAATGGCACTAATAATAGAATGTAAGGATTTTGATTCTTAATGAGATTCTCAAAAATTGAAGGGATTAATATCTCGAAATTCCAAACCCGAAAGTAAATCCAAGGATTTAACGATCGATATTCCAGGGCTTGAAAAAATATCCAGAAACTTCGTCGTTTCAGAATTCTCCGAAATTGCGCGAATGCGTAAGAATTGAAAATCGCGAATAATTCTTCCTTGCGCTTCACATGAAACACGGCTAGTGTACTTGATGGTGCAATACGCGCGGATTAAGCCCACGTATTATGCTGTCTATGCGCAAATAGATAGCGCGTGAATGACCGGCGGTCCACGTATAAGTAGATATATGGTATGCAAATCCTCGTCGCGTATTCGGAATTTATACGGACGAAAGCTCGCGGCTTGCATTTTCATGGAAGCAGCGTTTAATGAAAGGCACCATTGTATCTGTCCCGTCCCGAGTTTATCATACTAATGAGGACTTAATATCGCGTTATGGGAAACTTTGAACGGATACCATTCAGAGCGGACGCGATACACCGCCGCGATCGCTGTGTCCCTTTCTGCTCGCGCTGCTCTGCTTCTCCCATACTTCAAGGCGTTTCCAACACACGCCTTTTCATCGTGCACGTTTTTCTTCCTTCCAATTTCTTACAGAGACGCGCTTGGAAAGAAGAGCACTCGTAAAAAGAAGTTACGGAATACACTGGTGAAACGATACCGCGTTTATATGCGCCTTCATATCCTCTTTTTTCCTTGGAAAAAGAAACAACCGAACTAACAAGAATGTGTTATCGCGTTTAAGTTTAAATTTCTGAGCAAAGTCTTTTCTCTTGCAAGCCGCCTTCTCTTCGTCGTCGAAGATATTTATTATACACAGGCTGAGGCAGTTCCTCACCACTTGAACTTTATGTTACCTCTCCGTAGGCACGAACGGAAGAACTATTTTATTCAAAAGCAATCACCCATTTCCTTCGAGGAATAGACTCTGTATGAGTAATCAAGAAAACGGACTTGTAGAATACGGAAAATTATCTACGAATGCAACCGTTTATAATAAAAATTTCATATTGGAAGAAAACGAATTTAAAGTCAAGTTTTTGTAAACGTTTAAATCTAAAAAGTTCTTCTTATTATTTAGTTCAGAGAATAATCGGACAATATATATATATATAACTAAATTGAACGCTAACATGTTTTGTCGTAGAATCGTCGAGAAATTTATTTAGTTTTAGCGAATAATATTCATTGTCAGATTAATGTAAAAATTATTTTCGTATAATAAAATGAAAAATAGAACGACGGTTCGCAAAGTACGGTAATTAAAAGGAAAATATTAATTTAAATATTCCGCTAGTGATATGCGCTTTTAATACCGCCTCTGCTTTCGGACGTGACATCTTAAATTCGACATTTCCTGCGACGAATAACTCTTTCACTACAAAAGGCGTGTGTATATGCGCAAGTGGAGCTCACGCTCACACGTAAAGCGCGTGAATGCACGCTCGACTAAAATGGAGAGTGCCTCAGGCTGCAACGGCTAAAACAAATTTGGCAAGGGTGTGATTGCACTTCGATAAATGATAATGACATTTTGTGTAATTAAGTATATAAAGGCACATACGCAATTAAACTTATCCTTTTTACGCTACATAAAAATTTATATTGTTTTTTAACGACGATCGAAATATCCCATCTTATTACAGAATTATGTGTTTCTGCAAGGAAAAAGATCTTTATACTTTTCAGAAGATTGTTAAAAATGAGTTATCAGCAGCATTCTGTCGAAAAAGGACAACTAAACGACACTTTATTTAGCCGTCTATCCCGTCGTGCACGACGCGACAGGGGTGCGCGCAGTTTAACGAACGTGTCTGCAGTGGAGCAGACAAATTTATTCGTGCCGGCATTGGCAGCGTGATATCTTTCTATAGGGGCTATTTTCTCATCAATCCCAATAGCTTTTATACAACGTGACTCACGCGTGAAAAGACTCCGTGCAGCCTTTGGCGAATCCGATGTTCGTCATCTCTCCCCCGTGCACCATCATCGTCGCCACTGTCTCCGACTGCTCGAGATAAGGCCGGCCTCTTTCAGGATATGAATCGATACATTCATTTTTATTATTGAAAAAGCAAATCGGCATCTTTTGTGATAGAAATGCATTTGATAAATATCCAACCGAGAGCGCCGTGATTCATGAATCGGCGGCAACGCCTACATTTCGGAAATTGATTAATTGATTGTCGATTGAGTACTGAATTATAATATTGCGTGCGAGGCAAACGGACGTTTAAAGGTGAAGTGTATTGTAAAATCTGCGAAAATATAACATAGCTCCACTTAACTTGAGTGTTAACAAATCGTTATTGGAGTGTTTTGATCACGTTCTGTATGCTTTGTGTCGCAATTAAATAAGTACATGTGTCTCTCGTGATATCAAGTATCGGAATTCAACGTACGCACTTCCAGTCGATTATTTTAGCGTTTCGCAAGATTGCGAATGATTCAAGCGGTATTTCGTTAAAAATTGACAATTTGACATTAATGGAAATTTAATGCCGTTGATCCCACACCTAATTAGCACTAGATAAGTTCACACGTATTTTTCTTAATTCCAATTCGTTTGGACGAGCTGGAATCGTAATTATCTATTTACGACCCGCATATGACCACAAGGAGTTCACCGCGGTAGGAAGGCGGATAAATAAGTCGAACATTCTCGGAGAATTTACGTTGATAGCGTCCGACAAAAGAACGGATGTTATTTCATTCTTTCGATGTTGATCTCCCTTTGGGGTCCGCTTCTACGATATAATATAACACATGCACAAAAATGTGCATCGCGAAGAACAAACTCCGACCATGCCGCACCCTGCATGCACGATTTCCGTGACGAAGGTCCCTAACAAAAGCCCGTACGCTCGTCACTCATTTAACTTCAAAGCCATAATTTTTTCATCGTAAATCTCATTTGCTGAAGACAAAATTTTAACAAGATCACAGATATAAACAAATAAAAATTAAAATTCGACATAAATCTAACTTTTGTACATAATACGTGACATAAAAATTCAGATTCTTCAAATAATAAAGTAATAGAAAACAAAATAACGAATGACTCTCGGGTAAATTAGGAAAGTAGGAAATACAACAACATAAATATGTTTAGTTATCGACGAAGACTCATAATACGTCGAATACATGAGTTCGTGGCGCTCCAGTGTTTTAATGGAGAAAATATGGCTTCTACTGTTCCAACTAATGGCTTGGTATAGCGTTAAATGTGCGCAGAGAATATGGAGCAAAATTCCAGCCGGCACGCTCGCTCGAATGCTCGGAGCAGAGCATACGACGAAACGGAATAAAGAATGTGTTACTCACCAGGCTTTGACTCGTATGAGGACCTCTCCCTCGCCGAGGGTGGGTTCCGGCTTCTTCAGAGCTTTGACACTCTTCAGGCCGCCGAAACCGTTGAGTACGATGGCCCGCATGTCCTTCGGCTCCGGCGTGGACTTCTCCTCGCCATTCTCCTTCGGTTTCTCACCTTCGCCATTCTCCTCGATTTTCTTCTCGTCCTCTTTACACTCTTTCGCGGGTTCCTCCTTGTCCGGCTTGGCGGCTGGCGGCGACGCCGCCGTCGTTTCCTGCGGTGGCTTCTCGCCCTCGGCACTCGGGCTGGTCTCGTTCTTGTCTTCTGCCATCTTTTAGTTTAACCTCTTCTCAGACGCCCTGAAACTCTGAAGCTACCGCGACGTCCTTTACCGCAAGACTGAGAATGTCCGCGACAACCGCGATACAGGGATACGCGTCAAGGGAGCGTACGTGTTGTGTTACCGTCCGCGATCGCGAAGCGACAGGCGGAGCGGAGAGCAAACGGAGAGAAAGAGAGAGAGAAAAGAGGGAGAGAAAGTGCCCGTTCGTATGAGTAATCCGGCTTGACACGGGTATATCGCTTACGATCCGCCGCGTATGCACTCCACGAAAGCCGCCGTCGTTCTGCGCGAAATTGTACGCCACTGTGTCAAAGGCCGCTTCGTTCGTCAATGCCGGCTACGCCGGCCGGTAACGCGCGCGATGTTGCTGTTGCTTGGCAACCTACCAAACAGCCAATCATTTACCAGCTCGTTCGTATCGTACCGGACACATGCGCAATTCGGCAGATGCCGCAGCACGACAAATCGCAGATGACACGTCCTACTCCGCCGTGGTGAACTAGTTCCTTTCTGTCGAGTCTTCTTTCCCCCCCTCTTGCAACCCTCAATCACGCGTATTATAACCTAAAAATTCGAAAATACAACAACTCTCGCTGTGTTTCGAGCAGGACTATCGATTTCAGGCGCGATGGATGTATGTACACGATGGATGCCGCGCTTCATAATTGCAAATCGTGCGGAATGACATTTGCGAAACGCGAGGCGCCGTCTGATCTTGATGACGCTACCGTATAATTGTTTCTATGAATAATCGAAGAAAATGGGAGAACAAAGTACGGGGTTCTATCGCGATCGTCAACGTCGTTACAAATCTTAAAGAACAAAATTGCGAATATCGCCTAAAAAATTTAGCATTGAAATACATTTCATAACATTCTTACTGCATGACTGAATAGAATAAATTGTTATAATGAGTATTTAATATAAAAAATATAGCGAATATAAATAAGTAGAATAATTTATTTATCCTATAATTTTATCTGAAACTTTTGGCAAAATTTAAAGGTTTGATGTGTAAAGCAATATTCGAAGTTTTGGAAATATTGTATGAGTCATCAGTGAATGCGTCTCGAAAAACTCTCCCAGACAAAATTTCTCATTAGATTCTTGCGTCATGTGGAAATATATATGAGATGTTGAAACGCATTGTAGAAAAAAAACAAAAACAAATTTATGACAATAAAATATCATCATAATATAGCTATTCTATTTATGTAAGATGCAAAATTTTAACATATGTTACCTTATTCACGTTTCGTGCGTATATGAAATTAAAAAGGTATATTAAATTGCATAAAAATAGCTAATAAACTTTTACTGCGTAAACTAATAGACATAAATATTTCCCTTTTTCTACTTTTTATGAGCTATACGAATATTCCAAAGTCATGTCGATAAATGAATTTCCAGAATATAGAAGCTCATGTTGAATATTTACAGGAATAAAGAATTTCACGTTAAATCAATTCTAACAATGTAACGCAATAGCGATTACAAGCGTCGGTACAGTTCGATTAACGGAGTGTCATACGTGGAGTAGCTGGAAGGAAAATGCAGCGTGGCCAAGGAGGAACCCAACGTCACCGATAAAATAAAGGAATTCCTGCATCGCGCATTCACTTGTGCGACGAACCGACGATCCATTTGTCAGGCACGAGACCTCGACCATCCATCCCTTCGGCCATGAAAATTTGCTCATCCTTCTCATTTCGGCATCGTATACACTATACGTGTGGCAGACGTGAGAAAGTAGTGCCGAGCAGACGACGCCCGAAACGAAACGTGTATATTACTACGCCACGCACGGTGTGCGTAGGCTTTCTGTGCACACGCATACGCGGGTGAACGCGTGCGCGTCCTGTCGTTTATCCGTTCCTCGATTTAACGAGAAACACGCCTTACCAAACGCGAGATTCTGCTGCACAGCTGTTTTCTCTCTCTCTCTCTC